AGACGGTCCCAGTGAGCACACGTTCAAGACGGTCCCAGTGAGTACACGTTCAAGACGTTCCCAGTGAGTACACGTTCAAGACGTTCCCAGTGAGTACACGTTCAAGACGTTCCCAGTGAGTACACGTTCAAGACGTTCCCAGTGAGTACACGTTCAAGACGTTCCCAGTGAGTACACGTTCAAGACGTTCCCAGTGAGTACACGTTCAAGACGTTCCCAGTGAGTACACGTTCAAGACGGTCCCAGTGAGTACACGTTCAAGACGGTCCCAGTGAGTACACGTTCAAGACGGTCCCAGTGAGTACACGTTCAAGACGGTCCCAGTGAGTACACGTTCAAGACGGTCCCAGTGAGTACACGTTCAAGACGTTCCCAGTGAGTACACGTTCAAGACGTTCCCAGTGAGTACACGTTCAAGACGTTCCCAGTGAGTACACGTTCAAGACGTTCCCAGTGAGTACACGTTTACACGTTCAAGACGGTCCATGTTACACGTTCAAGACGGTCCCAGTGAGTACACGTTCAAGACGTCCCAGTGAGTACACGTTCAAGACGTTCCCAGTGAGTACACGTTCAAGACGGTCCAGTGAGTACACGTTCAAGACGTCCCAGTGAGTACAACGTTCAAGACGTCCCATGAGTACACGTTCAAGACGGTCCCAGTGAGTACACGTTCAAGACGTTCCCAGTGATATTCACGTTCAAGACGGTCCCAGTGAGTACACTGTTCAAGACGTGTCCCAGTGAGTAACACGTTCAAGACGGTCCAGTGAGTACACGTTCAAGACGGTCCCAGTGAGTACACGTTCAAGACGGTCCCAGTGAGTACACTTCAAGACTTCCCAGTGAGTACAACGTTCAAACGTTCCAGTAGTCACGTTCCCATGAGTCATATTATTTCACGTTCAAGAGTTCCATGAGCACACGTTCAGACGGTCCCAGTGAGTACATCGTTCAAGACGTTCCCAGTGAGTACACGTTCAAGACGTTCCCAGTGAGTACAACGTTCAAGACGTCCCAGATAAGTTCAAGTCCTCAGTGGTACACGTTCAGAGTCCATGATAATCTCATGAGTTTGTAGTACACGTTCGTTTCCCATGATTACTAGTTCAATGACTATCCCAGGAGTACAGCGTTGCAACCCAGTGAGTACATTCAAGACCGGGGGCGAGTGAGACCGATTCAAGCTATTCCAGTGAGAACTGAGTTCAAGATCGTCCCAGCAATTAAGTACTCTCGGCTCACCAACATCAAGAACATCTCCTTGGGTACATGTTTGATTCTAATTCTTATTCACTTGTTTGAACACGTCAAGCACGAGCAATATTCGTCATGCTTCCTACATTGAAACACTGGTTGATCAGGCTCTGTCCAATATTTTCTATTCTAACAAGGGCACGGGCTTGCCCCGATCTCACATGTAACAAGTGATTAAAGGTGTAATTATCATCTATGTCCTTTAGGATAGAAACTCCAACATCCAGGACATCCTTGGGGCTAGTCGTGATCTTTTCTTACTTTGCTTTGATGAGACTCCGCGACAATCCAATTTTACGTGTTCTGTTTCATTGATAACACAACTGTGAAAGTGTTTTTATCATGTTTTATGAGGATTAAGAAACAGCAGAGGTGCCAGGACAGTGCCTTGGGGCACTGAGCTTTTTACTTGCTGATGCTGGTTTGTGTTATGTAGACGTGCATTTGTGTTATGTGTGTTAGGGAACTGACACAGATCCAATCCCTTGCATGAGCCTTACCCATAATGCTTTTGAGGCTTCAGTGTTTGTGAATTGCTTAATTTCATACCTATTTGGAACTAATCACATTTGTCAAACACCTTTTTAAAAACCGAACCAAACTAGATAAGCATATTGGCTGTCTTCCAACGCCCCCATAATGCTGTCATAGTAGTTCAGCAGCTATGATAGGCATGATCGGCATTAACTTTCCACCTGCCAATTTAAACACACATCAAAGATCCTTAAGCAAGAGTTTAATAATGACAATCAGAAACAATCTGTCAAACATTGCTCAACATAGTGTATGAATTAACAGAAGGGTGGACAAGGGGGCTCGAACTGAAGTCCATAAAATGACAGTCCAATGCTTTACCATCTAGGCTCTGGTGGCCTGGTGGCTAACGCTCTCGCTTCACACGGTGAGGGCCTGGGTTCGATTCCCAGCCAGAGTAGAAACATTGGACGTGTTTCTTTCCACCTGTTGTCTATGTTCCCCATCAGTAAAATGGGTACCTGGGTGTTAGTCGACTGGCAAGGGTCGCATCCTGGGTCACTGACCTAATTTGCCAGAAATGCAGAGCATAACAAGGGAGTTTCTATATAGTAGTATGTCATTGTCAGCTAGGACTGTATACCTTGTACATGTACTTGTAGTAAATAAAGATATAGGCTAACCCAGGTCTCTAATAGGAAGGATTAGGAGCCAATACTTAATGTACTATTTTCCGTCAAGAGGCACCAACTGTAACTCAACTTAACTCCTTCCCTTGGCCTAGGAGCCTTAGCATTAGATCCTTCTTAGCCCCATAAAGGTAACACTGTCTATGGACTCAAATTAAGTTATAATAAACAATGGAATATAATAGGATAAGTATTAGTTCTGATTCCTTCCTATTAAAAGCTTGGGTTAGTCTAGATGGTAGTGAACATTAAAATGGTATAAAATACCGACAGGTTGTTAGGTAAGACACATATGCAACAGTTAGGTATCTTTATTGTGAAACGTTTCGCCTACACAGTAGGCTTCTTCAGTCAAGTACAGGAAAGGTTGATAGAAGCAGAAGATACTTGAAGACGATGTAATCAGTCCATCACCCTTAAAGTTTTGAGGTGGTCAGTCCCTCAGTCTGGAGAAGAGCATTGTTCCATAGTATGAAACAATATGATATTGTTTCATACTATGGAACAATGCTCTTCTCCAGACTGAGGGACTGACCACCTCAAAACTTTAAGGGTGATGGACTGATTACATCGTCTTCAAGTATCTTCTGCTTCTATCAACCTTTCCTGTACTTGACTGAAGAAGCCTACTGTGTAGGCGAAACGTTTCACAATAAAGATACCTAACTGTTGCATATGTGTCTTACCTAGATGGTAGTGTCAGACTCAATTTACCGACCGTGGTTTGAGCCCCTCAACCATCCTTAGAGTTCACAGTGTATGAATGTAGATAGTGTCAATGACACTGACCAACACTGTCATTATAGTGGTATGCTCACTAACAATATGAGTAACACTGAGCAATACTGTCATTATAGTAGTATGCTCACTAACCAAGAGGCCTGGTCACAGAGTGAGCCGTAGGGGTGTTGATCCCCAAAACCTCTCCAGATATACAGTATAACACTGACCAATACTGTCATAGTACATTTACTCACAGTAGTATAAGTAACAGTAGTGTGCAAATTAATTATGCCAGGAGTAAATTTTGTGACTGCTATCTCATAATACGTCTTAGTCTCCGGCTTAATAAATGTAGTCTAGGATCTTTTCGGAAGAGTTTGCTACTGACTTCTGGCAAGCATCCAGCTGTGATGTTACCCTGCAACTCTCAACAGTGCTACAACAGCTGTTGTTCTATAAGGCTATTCCTGCAGGCATGCTCCATGAGTGAATGTGGTTTTGCCAAATTCTCCTCTTTAATTCATGATTACTGCTGAAATTCATGATGGATGTCACACCCAGAAAGAATGCAAGTATTGTAGCTCTTAGAAAACATGCTGATTTGAATATCAGACAGATCGCCGAAAATTTGAGCCTAGCAAAGTTAACTGTTGGTCGGATTCTGAAGAGCTGATGATGCTGGTGATTGTGGAGTGCTGCATCGAGGATGATGTGGAAGAAAACTCGAAACAACGCCTCAAGATGACAAGGTTATAAGAAATAGTGTGAAGGATCCAAGAAAACCAGCAAAGATCTACAGAGAGATTTGGCTTCAACTATTCAATGAAGGAGGGGTGTTAATGTTGCAGTTTAAAAACTGTAGTGTAAAGCACCCTTCTGGAAAGACAGTGATGGAGTGAATGATGGTGAAAGTTTTTCTTTTTCGGGCCACCCTGCCTTGGTGGGAATCGGCCAGTGTGATAATAAAAAATAAATAAATATTCAATGAAGGTTACTTGTTGGCAAAACTGCCAGAAAGCCAGTTAAGAAACAACTATTGATTCCTATGAAGAAAAACGGCTGTTCAAAATGTCAGATAAGACATTTTGAACATAGGTACAGATCAGCGGCAAACAGAGCACAGGTGAACCTCTTCAGAATGGACACATTCCACAAATGCCAAAACACCCGCCTAAGATGTTTTGGGGTAGTTTTACTGGTTAAGGCCCCGGACAGTTTGATATTGTTAGAGAACGATGAACACTGAAAGGTAATCCTGACAACTCTCTGCTTCCTATTGTGGATAGAAACTTTCCTGATGGAGAAGGCACTTTCCAGCAGGATCTTGCTCCATGCCACATTTCCAGAAAAATGCTGACATTCTTCGAAGAGAGTGGGCTAAGCGTTCTACATTGGCCTGGAAACTCTCCTGATCTCAGCCCAACTGAGAATCTATGGACAATAGCCAGATGCAGGATCATGAAACAGGACTGGTGAACTGTGGAGAAGCTAACTGCTGCTGTTATTAGGACCTGGTACCACAGTGAAGAACTTGCCAAAATGTGTTCAACATTGGTCAATTCTATGGCAAAGCGTGTAGCAATACTTATAAAAGCAATGGGTAGTCATATATCTTATTAAATAAATTATCTGTCATATCACTGCAGTGTATTTTATTTTATCACTGCCCCAATTAATATACACACTATTGTACCAAAACTGTTGTCATGGTGGTATGCTCACTCACAGTATGAATAACACTGATCAATACTGTCATTATGGCAGTATGTTCACTTGCAGTAACAATAACACAGACCTCTAAATTCTTCCCTCTGAATATCCCACGAGCCTAGAGTACTACACCTTCAGGAGACTCACCTGAAGGAGCCTGAAGCGCAGGTCTGAAGAAGCAATGACCATTAGACGGTACAGGAGCCAGACAGCAGTGATGGCAGTCAGACACACCAGCCAGAACCAGATGAAGATGTAGATCTTCTCATTGATGATGTTCACTGCCAGCACACACATTGTATCATGGGTCTCTATTGTCCCTGACGAACCAAACTTCCTGTGGAAGGAGAAAGACTTTTACACAGGTAATCAAAGCAGAGTTAAGATTTTGTAGGCCTCTAGGCTACAAGTGCTGCAAAGCCCCTGGGCTACAGGTGCTGTGAGACCCCTGGGCTACAGGTGCTATGTGACCCCTGGGCTACAGGTGCTATGTGACCCCTGGGCTACAGGTGCTGTGAGGCCCCTGGGCTACAGGTGCTGTGAGGCCCCTGGGCTACAGGTGCTATGTGACCCCTGGGCTACAGGATCCTCAACTTACACACACACACACACACACACACACACACACAATACAGGATAGTTGTCTATCTACACAGAAGAGGATAGTTCTTCTCAATAGTCTAATTACACTCTTTTTAAAGTCCAGTGCTAACTTTCCCATGTACTTCCACATACTGCCATGTACTCTGACAACACTGAGTACACAGTGCATACTGTACTATAGACTTATCAGTGCTTAATATTTTTTAACATTTTGGAAAAAGTTAATCTAAATAGAACTGCCTTGGGAAATTGCTAAACCCTGTGGGTTTAGCAATTTCCCATGGGAATCTCCCATGGAGAATTGTGGTATGTTTATGCTGGGCTAGGCCTACTCACAAAGTCGTAATAATAATAAAAATTAAGTGGTAATAATTATAATAAACCATGAAAATCAATGACTTATAATTATGGACAATATCACTGCACAATAATAGATTTTCTAAATACAGGTCGGCCATCACTAATCTGGCAACATTAGAACCTGTAGTGCACCGGATGAGTGAGTTGGCCGCATTACAGAGTGGTTAGGTTAGAACACACTTAATTAACACATCAATAGAGACTCTCTGCTACATCTTCTCATTTTCATCACTACTTTCTCCTCCACTGGCTTGTTGCTGGGGATTTACAACCATCTGCTCAATTTCTGAATAACAATTTTTGAGTCAGTAAAATGATGAAATACGAGTCAGTATAATGATGAAATATGAGTCAGTATAATAATGAAATTTGAGTCAGTATAATGATGAAATCTGAAATTATGCTAGCCGAAATTAGTGCCGGATTACTGACGGAACCAGATAACCGACTGCCGGATTAGTGATGGCCGACCTGTAATAATAATAAAAATTTAGGAAATTTATTAGTGTAATGATACTGTGTATTACAAGTCACTGATTTTAATAATAACAATAATAATTATTTTAGGTGAAAGTAAGGATAAAACAGACTATAAGAGATGAGAAAGAACCAGAGTAGAAGTGAGGGAGATTGATGGAGAAGTGAGGGAGAATGATGAAGATGGGGCCCTTGTGCATCCATCTAGCAGCGGGGCCAGGAGCTGTGAATCGACCCCTGCAACCACGAACAGGAGAGTATAAGACCACTGCAGCACTCCAGTAGGCCCACTGGTCTATGCTAGGCAGGGACCCCTCTCAAACCTAACCCTTAGACAGTAGCCCCCTGTATCCACGGGGGGTACATTCCAAGACCTACCATGGATACCTGAAACCAGGGATACCTGAAACTGTGGATACCTGAAACCAGGGATACCTGAAACTGTGGATACCTGAAACCAGGGATACCAGCAAACCCTATATATGCTGTTTTTCCATTACAACCGTGCCTATGATAAAGTTTAAATGATAAATTAAGCAATACAAATCTAGAATTAACACTTTTTCACTGCTAGGAAGCACTTCACTGCCTCTCTTGGGCTTCGAAGAACTGTCAGGATCACTGATTTTACACTTTAGGGCCATTATTAATGGGTTATTTTTGGGTTGCAGTAAAACAGTGGATAACTGAAACCATGGATACCGAATCTTTGGATATGGGAAGAGGGGGTTCTACTGAATACCCACCCCATTCTTATAGCTATACATCTCTACTTCCAGCAGTTTTCTCGGTAGACTGTTCCACTTATCTACCAGGACTACTGAACTAATACTATGCTGTATCCTTCCTAGATCTGTATTTATCCTATGTTAATCCACCATCTTCATCCATTGGTTTGATATCCAAAGCTATGATTTACCAAGCTAGAGCTTTGTAAACTTTGGATTTAAAGCAATCCTAATCCTACTGCCAGTCCTCCTTGCAACATGCAGGTACAGTGGACCCCCGCCTTACGATGGCATCGCGTTATGTTAAATCCACCATACGATACATTTTAACGCAAAAATTTTGCCTCGCCTCACACGCGATTTGTCCGGGATGCGTCCCACGCGTGGCCTCAGCTGCCCTGTGCGTGCCAGTGTTTACAAGCCAGCCAGTGTGGTCGCATCCATGCATACATTCTGTACATTTCATATCATCACAGTGTTTTAAGTGATTGTACCTGCAAAATAAGTCACCATGGGCCCAAAGAAAGCTTCTAGTGCCAACCCTGTGGGAAAAAGGGTGAAAATTACCATGGAAATGAAGAGATAATTGCTAAGTGCGAAAGAAGAAGGGAAGTAACCCCGGAAAAGGACTTGATACCTCAAGTCCTAATGGAAGGGGATTCCCCTTTTAAACAATAACTTCGACACTCTCCCCTCCTCCCGTCCCATCAATCATCACCAGATCTTCAGTAAAGGTAACTGTCATGTATTGTATTCTTAGTAGAGTATTATATTTGTGCATGTCTTCTTAAGTTTGTTTTTTTTTTTTTTTTTTATTATCACACCGGCCGATTCCCACCAAGGCAGGGTGGCCCGAAAAAGAAAAACTTTCACCATCATTCACTCCATCACTGTCTTGCCAGAAGGGTGCTTTACACTACAGTTTTTAAACTGCAACATTAACACCCCTCCTTCAGAGTGCAGGCACTGTACTTCCCATCTCCAGGACTCAAGTCCGGCCTGCCGGTTTCCCTGAATCCCTTCATAAATGTTACTTTGCTCACACTCCAACAGCACGTCAAGTATTAAAAACCATTTGTCTCCATTCACTCCTATCAAACACGCTCACGCATGCCTGCTGGAAGTCCAAGCCCCTCGCCACACAAACCTCCTTTACCCCCTCCCTCCAACCCTTCCTAGGCCGACCCCTACCCCGCCTTCCTTCCACTACAGACTGATACACTCTTGAAGTCATTCTGTTTCGCTCCATTCTCTCTACATGTCCGAACCACCTCAACAACCCTTCCTCAGCCCTCTGGACAACAGTTTTGTAATCCCGCACCTCCTCCTAACTTCCAAACTACAATTCTCTGCATTATATTCACACCACACATTGCCCTCAGACATGACATCTCCACTGCCTCCAGCCTTCTCCTCGCTGCAACATTCATCACCCACGCTTCACACCCATATAAGAGCGTTGGTAAAACTATACTCTCATACATTCCCCTCTTTCCCTCCAAGGACAAAGTTCTTTGTCTCCACAGACTCCTAAGTGCACCACTCACTCTTTTTTCCCTCATCAATTCTATGATTCACCTCATCTTTCATAGACCCATCCGCTGACACGTCCACTCCCAAATATCTGAATACGTTCACCTCCTCCATAACTCTCTCCCTCCAATCTGATATTCAATCTTTCATCACCTAATCTTTTTGTTATCCTCATAACCTTACTCTTTCCTGTATTCACCTTTAATTTTCTTCTTTTGCACACCCTACCAAATTCATCCACCAATCTCTGCAACTTCTCTTCAGAATCTCCCAAGAGCACAGTGTCATCAGCAAAGAGCAGCTGTGACAACTCCCACTTTGTGTGTGATTCTTTATCTTTTAACTCCACGCCTCTTGCCAAGACCCTCGCATTTACTTCTCTTACAACCCCATCTATAAATATATTAAACAACACGGTGACATCACACATCCTTGTCTAAGGCCTACTTTTACTGGAAAAAATTTCCCTCTTTCCTACATACTCTAACTTGAGCCTCACTATCCTCATAAAAACTCTTCACTGCTTTCAGTAACCTACCTCCTACACCATACACTTGCAACATCTGCCACATTGCCCCCCTATCCACCCTGTCAACGCCTTTTCCAAATCCATAAATGCCACAAAGACCTCTTTAGCCTTATCTAAATACTGTTCACTTATATGTTTCACTGTAAACACCTGGTCCACACACCCCCTACCTTTCCTAAAGCCTCCTTGTTCATCTGCTATCCTATTCTCCGTCTTACTCTTAATTCTTTCAATTATAACTCTACCATACACTTTACCAGGTACACTCAACAGACTTATCCCCCTATAATTTTTGCACTCTCTTTTATCCCCTTTGCCTTTATACAAAGGAACTATGCATGCTCTCTGCCAATCCCTAGGTACCTTACCCTCTTCCATACATTTATTAAATAATTGCACCAACCACTCCAAAACTATATCCCCACCTACTTTTAACATTTCTATCTTTATCCCATCAATCCCGGGTGCCTTACCCCCTTTCATTTTACCTACTGCCTCACGAACTTCCCCCACACTCACAACTGGCTCTTCCTCACTCCTACAAGATGTTATTCCTCCTTGCCCTATACACGAAATCACAGCTTCCCTATCTTCATCAACATTTAACAATTCTCAAAATATTCCTTCCATCTTCCCAATACCTCTAAACTCTCCCATTTAAAAAACTCTCCTCTCCTATTTTTAACTGACAAATCCATTTGTTTCTCTAGGCTTTTCTTAACTTGTTAATCTCACTCCAAAAAATTTTTCTTTTTCAACAAAATTTGTTGATAACATCTCACCCACTCTCTCATTTGCTCTCTTTTTACATTGCTTCACCACTCTCTTAACTTCTCTCTTTTTCTCCATAAACCCCTTTTTCCTCCTTTCACATCATTGTAAAAAATCTCATATGCTAACTTTTTCCTTAAAACCCTTTTTTACATCTCATTTCCCCCAAAAGCTCCTCCCCTCCGCACCCCTTTCCTGTAACCAAAACTTCTGCTGAACACTCTAACACTACATTTTTTAAACCCACCCCATACCTTTCGACCCCATTGCCCATGCCTCATTAGCCCATCTATCCTCCAAAGCTGTTTATATCTTACCCTAACTGCCCTCCCTTTTTAGTTTTTAAACCTTTACC